GGGGCCAGATGGGACACTTTCCTCTGATGGAGGAGAAGTGGCCCTGAACTTGCTCAGCGTGTTTATTTTATAATCATAGCGCAAGGGAAGTGGGAAGGGATCCAAGGTCTGTGAGGGAGTCATAAAGGAATTATGGTGCTACCTAAAAGGTGATTTGTTTCACAGTTATCTTGTTGTGGCTAGGGCTTTTTTAATGCTGTGTGCACTTGGATGTGTGGGCATCTGAGACACCGTTTCGTGTAGCAGGCTGCATCCCTTGCCTTTGCCTAGGATGCAGAGCTTCCAAGCGAGACCTTACCTATGGGATTGGGGCCATGAAGCGAGACCTTGCCTTCTCTTGGGGCCTTTACTTATTAAGGCCTGCTACAGTGACAGTGCTTGTCTGCTCCCCACATCACATCCGCTCCCGACAATAACAGTCTGTCTCGACTGTTTGCTTCTAACAATGGCTTCTATTTTCTTCTTTTTTTCCTAATACATATTTTTAATTTTAAAATTGTGGGGTCCAGTTAAGGGTTAGGTATACAAATATGCATTGTGCAGGTACCCTTGTTGATGAGGTGTGCCCCCCCGTCCCCAGACAGATGTTGGCTACTGTTAATCCCACCTCCTTTCCCCTCTCTGTGCCCCCCCATAGTTGTTCAAGGTCCACTTGTGTGTGAGAACATGTGATACTCAGATCTTTGTTTCTGTGAGAGGTCACTCAGTATTATAAGCTCTAATTCCATCCAGGTTGCTGTGAAATTCATGATTTTGTTCTTTTTTATGGCTGTGTAATATTCCATCGTGTATATGTACCACATTTAAAGGGAACACTTCTGCACTGTTGGTGGGAGTGTAAACTAGTTCAGCCTCTGTGGAAATCAGTGTGGTGATTCCTAAAAGCTCTAAAAATCGACCTTCCATATGACCCTGCAATCCCCCTACTGGGAATATAGCCTGAAGAACTCAAATCACTCTATAAAAAGTGGCTTCTATTTTCTCTCAGGCTAGTTGTAGAAAGGTAAGGTGAGGGCTGCCCTCTACCTCTTCAGGTCTTGTGGCCCGGCTGCTTCTGCCATCGGGCTTCCCTGGGGCTGTTTTCCTTTGCAGGAGAGTTTGTCTTTGTCTGACAGTTCTTGTCCCTGAAGTACTTTGCAAAGAGCATTCAGTAACTTTCCTTACCAGAAAGCACGGAGCAAGTTGTGACAGGTTAGAGAACAGTGGCGTCCTCTCTGGGATGTGGCTGTGGCTTCCAAAACACTTTTGCGAGTCTTTGCCTATAAAGTGCTTTTTTGGGAGATGTACTCACGTTTTTACTTTCCATCCAATGGGAAAGGGAGGGAGGACTGGTTGTAGAATGCTGATTTCTCAAAGTGCTGGTTGGTAGAGCTCAACCCTGTTCTCCTCTGGCCCCGATGCCAGGTAAAGTGTAAGGGCCGGGCGTGGTGGCTCACACCTGTAATCCCAGCACTTTGGGAGGACGAGATGAGAGGATTGCCTGAGCCCAGGGGTTTGAGACCAGCCTGGGCAACTTCGAGAACTTGTCTCTATAACAAATCAAAAAATTAACCAGGCAATGGTGTATGCCTCTTTGGAAGGCTGAGGACGGGGGATCCCCTGAGCCGAGCAGGTCGAGGCTGCGGTGGCCATGATCATGCCACTGCACTCCAGCCTGGGTGACAGAGTGAGACTCTGACTACAAAAAAAGTGGCTCAGCCTGTAATCCCAGCACTTTGGGAGGCTGAGGTGAGTGGATTGCCAGAGCCCGCGGGTTCGAGACCCGCCTGGGCAACTTGGTGAGACCTCATCTCTACAATAAATAAAAAAAAATTAGCTAGGCATGATAGCATGTGCCTGTAGTTCCAGCTACTTGGAAGGCTGAGGTGGAAGGATCGCCGGAGCCCAGCAGGTCGAGGCGGCCATTGCACTCCAGTCTGGGCGACAGTGTGAGACTCCAACTCAAAAAAAAAAAAAAAAGTGGTAAGATTTAAGATTTATGTAACATGAAATGGACTATTTCAAAGTTTCGTGGCATCAAGTTTATTCCCATGTGGGGCAACCATCACCGCCATCCACCCCCAGATCTGGGGTCTTCCCAAGCTGTGGTCAGTGTGCCTCTAGAAGACATATGGCTGTGTTGATCAAACTTGAGCTCCTTGGGGACGTGAGTTTTGTTTTAGTGGCCTGCATATTTATTCGGTCTAATGTAGTACCTGATCATTCCAGGGACTCATTCATCTTGTGGGATGGGAGCGTGAGGGGATGGACACTTTTCTAGCAGATTGCTGTTGATTTCTGTGCTTCGTGATGTGCCTTGTCATTTAGGCCCACATTTCATGGGTGCTGGAACTTAGCAGAGGTGTATCTGTGTGTTTTCATTTGGAGATATCTGTGGCTGTTGGATTTGGTGATCTGTGAGCCACTGGAAAACAGGACATTCCTTTCTTTTTGAATTGGAGTCTCATTCCGTCGCCCAGGCTGGAGTGCAGTGGCATGCTCCTGGCCACCGCAGCCATGACCTGCTGGGCTCTGGCGATCCTTCCGCCTTGGCCTTCCACATAGCCAGAATGACAGGTGCACGCTGCCTCACCTGGCTGATTTTTGATTTATTGTAGAAACAAGATCTGCCCATAGCTGGGGTCTGGAGACTCTCTGGGAAAAGCAGCACTGTCCAACAAATACGAGAAACCGTCAGCATTGCTCATGACAGTCCAGACTGAGGGTCCCAGTGACTGCTTTAGGGAACAGCAAAGATTAAAGGGGAATCATTTGGGCTGTGACTGGTTGGTTGGTGACGGTGGCAAAGGAGAAGTAGAAACAAAGTGGCCTGGGTATTTCAAGGTGGGTCTTTGGGAGAATCACCTGATCCTGGGGAAAGCCCCTCCGAGGAAGCCTGCCCTGCTTGGAAGTAGGATGTCTACTCTGCACTGGAGGTGAGCCTGCCTGGATCAGATCATATTTCCCAAACAACTTCTAAAGCAGAAGCGGAACATCAGAATCAGTTGGTATTTTGGCGAACTCTGAAATTCCTCTAAACGCTCTCATTGTGAAGGTGCATGTGACAGAGATCAGTCACGTGAAGGGGGAACGAGGGAAAACACATTGTCCTCACCACCATTCATTTCTCCCCCAAGCCAGGCTTCCCCCCCCACAATCCCCACCTTCACTGGAGGGGGTGCGCTGAGGAGAGGATACAGATGTGACATGAAAATGGAGCAGTGGTGGTTATGCTAAGCCCTGGAAGATAGGTGGGGATGGAGGTGCGCACAAGTCAAGAAAGGAAAGAGTGAGTGCAAAAGCACAGTGCGTGGACCCAGGGCACTGTCAGTCTTGAGTCACTGCTCTTCATTGTGTCTGCATCACTAGGCCTCTGACCTGGGGACTGGAATTGTCTTTGCAGGGCTTCATGTCTCATGTTCAGAGTGACTTCATGTTATACTTAGTCAGCGTTGGCTATGTGAATTGAACTTGACCAACAGGGATGTTATTTTTGTTACTTATTCCACAGCCTTGCCTGGTCTCAGTAATGAAGCAAAAACCAATTTAAAGACTAACGTTCTTATGTTTATCAGTAAAACAGATAATATGCCAATTACCTTCTTGGGCTGATTTTTGAGGATAAGTTGGAACTTACAAGTGAATCAAATAATGCGTGTAATTAGTAATGTCACTGTATATGACATGAAAACAATTTAAGACAGAAGCCACAGATATGAAGATTCTTAAGGCTTTGATCAAAATAATGCAATTTTCTTTCGAGTCTTCTGTAAATGGCATCATTGAAGTCAAGTTTTAGACAATTACAGTTGCTTTGTTAGCATGTAAGTAGTTACATTTGTCCTATATTTTGAAGTGAATTACATAGCCTTCATGTAGGGTTAAAAATAACTTCTTGGTGTACAGCTGCTTTAGGTTAACCAAGGGTGTTTTTAAAGAAAAACTAATACTTTATAGATGCATCTGTGTGTTTGCCTTGATAAGTTTAGGAAATCAAATTTGGAATGCAAATTTCATTAGCTGAATTAATTAGCTGTTTTGGAGAGGTTCTGTTTAATGTGTTATATGCGATTTAGAATGGACAGTTAGATGAGGAGTTAGAAAAATGATAAAATAATAGACCACGTGCTTTCTTGTTGATCTTGGAAAAGGAAATAATTAAGGGTGTCTGTTAGATAGAGTGTATTGATTTAAGGGTTACACTAGAAGATAGTTTAAGGAATTAAAAGTTGGAGGATGTTGGCCTATGATGCCTTTGCATCCATGATTATTTATAAACATTTGATTTATGTGTAAATTCATTTTCTCCATTGCTTTTTTGATAATGATATCCAAAACAAATTTGAAATTATTTCCTGTTAGTTTATCATGTGTTATCCATGCTTCGTAAATTCCTGAATTATCTCATTCAGTTAATGTTGTTCTCATTTAAAGTCAGATTAAGCAGTTTGCTTAAATGGCCTGGCCTGCGAAGACTTATAGAGACAGGTCATCTTTTTTTTTTTTTTTTGAGTTGGAGTCTCACTCTGTCGCCCAGGCTGGAGTGCAGTGGTACGCTCATGGCCACTGCAGCCTCGACCTGCTGAGCTCAGGTGGTCCTTCCACCTCAGCCTTCCAAGTAGCTGGAACTATAGGCATGCGCCACCATGCCCGGCTAATTTTTTGATTTATTATAGAGATGAGGTCTTGCCAAGTTGCCCAGGCTGGTCTGGAACCCGTGGGCTCAGGTGATCCTCTCACTTCAGCCTCCCAAAGTGCTGGGATTATAGGCGGGAGCCACTGCCCCTGGCCTAGGTCACATTTTTATATTAGAAAGTTGGCAAGAAAATTCCCTGAAATTCCATAGGCTTCACGTTGCAGTTGACTAAAAATAGACTTCCACTAATTAAACTGTTTTGCTCATCAAATCATTATAAACATGCTTTAAAAATTAATTTTCTAAGTCTTTTTGTGCAGGTAAGTAAGCAAACAAAATAGATAAGATCTCATATTTTCTTGTCTTTTTTTCTTCTGCCCAATAGGACCAGACATATTATCAATCATTCCAAGTTTCAGAATATGGTAAGAGTGCCTCAGTTTACTTTGGAAGAAAAAAAAAATTTACTATCTTCTTTTTTAACAAATTTCTTTATTTTATTTTAAAGATGTGGGTTACAATCCAGGATTAGGTATACAAGTGGTCATAGTTTTACAGAGATGTATAGTTATTTGAAGTTAGAATCCCAGGGGAGGTAAAATTCTGGTGTTCCTCGTCGGCAGAAAAATACACTTTTTCCTTTGTAAAAGTCTTTAAAATCTCATCAAAGAAAAAAGTAGAAAAAATGTCACCTGTAGTCTTTGTGCTAGTCTTTGTCTTATGGCACAGTTTTTCTACTTTGCTGTGATCATAACATATTTAAAAATGCATGCTTAGCCGGGCTCTGTAATCCCACGCCTTGGGAGGCTGAGGTGAATGGATTGCCTGAGCCCGCGGGTTCGAGACCTGCCTGGGCAACTTGGTGAGACCTAATCTCTACAATAAATAAATAAAAAAATTAGCCGGGTTGTGGCAGCGCACGCCTGTAGTTCCAGCTACTTGGAAGTCTGAGGCGGAAGGATTGCCTGAACCCAGCAGGTCGAGGCTGCGGTGGCCAGGAGCAGCCACTGCACTCCAGTCAGGGCGGCAGAGTGAGACTCCAAGTCAAAAAAAAAAAAAAAAAAAAGTGTGCTTAATCACGTAACATAAATTACTTTCCATTATAGTTTCCATTTGGTTGGCACTGGTAGAAACGGCCTGTTTAGCTAGGGAGTCCTCTTCCCGAAGGTGCCACCCTTCAGTGTCGTAGCTGGAAGTACAAGCTACTAATAGTAGGTCCCATGGTGAGAAAGGGGAGATGAGGGTGGATGGGGGTCTCAATGTTCCCTTATAACCTGAACCCTTATTTCAAGGTATCACAGTTGCCTTTTCGTTTGATGTGTGCCACTTTTTGAGATAGTGCTCTGCTCGGGCCATGTCAGTTCTGGAAAGTAATTTGCTTTCACCGGTGTAGCGCAGGCCCTTGTGTTTCATATCAGATTGTCAGATCCGAGTCCCAAGGTCACCAAGAACAGGAGGCAGTGAAGCGCTTCCAGTCACAGGCCAGATCGCACCTCAGGCTCTGTGGCTGTGCGTCTTTGTCATCACGGTGCCACTTACCTCTGTAGCCACCAGCAGCCAGAGACAACATGTATGTGAATGTTGCTGTGATTTAGTAAACTTTATTTTACGGACATGGAAATCAGAATTTCACGCAATTTCCGTGTGTCATGAAATATTATGTTTCTTTCTTTCTTTTTTTCCCCCAACCCATTAAATATTGCGGAAACCATTCTTAGCTCATGCTGGCCATGGTCTGCCGAACCCTGATCTGGAACTGTGGCCCAATGTGGGTGGGCCCACTGGCCATGTGGCTAGTCCAAACGGAAACACCAGATTTAGAAGACTCAGTACAAGGAAAAAAGAAAGAAGAATGGTTTATTAACAATTATTCTTTATTTTGATTGCATGTCAAAATGGTAATATCTTTGTGAAGGAAACAAGGACATAAGCTTGACAAGGTCCTTGTGTTTCTGGCCTGGCTCCAACAAGAGCTTGGCCAGTGTTTTCTTCTCTCGATGTTTGCCCCTAAAAATGTTAATTTAGTAAAATTCAGGTGGTGTGACCTCTAGTCTACATAGACTAGATATAGCCTGCTTCAATAATAACTTTGCTTAAAACTTCAAAAAACACAAATGTTAATAGTTTTACTTAAACTAACAAAAAACAAAGATGTTAATACTATAATAAGCTTGACAAAAAAGTCACAAATGTTAACCTTTTTCCCAGCTGATACTAACATTAAAACATTTCTTGTTTATATAGTTTTGCCCTATATAAAAAACATACTATAAAAATAAACTTGCTCTCACCTATTGAGGCGAAAAACCTCCCAATCTCACTAGTCTTTGTCTTTCTTTTCTCATTCCTTCCCCCCACCTCAGGCCCTACTCTTTAAAAACTAAACCTCCACATCTTAGGTATATGGGGTTAAGTAAAATATTGTAAAAGTTAATCTTACCTTTTTCTCTTTACTTTCTACGTGTGATAGCTAGCAATGAAATAATACACATGTGGCTCACATTTTATTCTTTTGGGCAAGGGACCAGTATTTTTCCAGTCTGTTTTCCAGACACACTGTGGTGGTGGGCAGTTGAGTGGGGTTGAGGGGAAGTGGGGATTAACTGTAGCCTGTGATGTCTGAGGAAGGGGCATTTGGGTTTCCTTGGGAAGGCCATCATATTAGCCCTGTGGCTTTTCTGGCCCCCTGTCCTGGACTGATCTAGAGTTCGAGAGGGCTTTGCACATTAAGCACTGCTAGCCTTGTTAGGAGCTGGAGGTCTGCTTCGTGTTATTCACCCACTGGCCTTTTTGATACTTCTCTTGTGTTAGCTGCATGGTGAGAGGCCTTGTTATAAAACTTCAGCCTATTTCTTTGGTCAGTGAAATTAATAGGGGGGAAAAAAAGACTCTTTAGACCAGACAAGAAACACAAGTTTTCCTCTTGGAGCGCTTTTATCAATTATAGTATTAATATTTATGAAATAGTTTATATTTTAGTTATATAAAGCTGACCAAAGTTAGAGATTTCTAGTTTTGGGTGAAACAAAGAGCTTTTCATTTGTCTTCACATGTATTTGGATTCTAATGAATTTGAGTTCAAATAGTACAAATTATCAACGTCTTCAGAGCAATTTTATTTTTTATTTTGTTCAGTGGAAGATAATAGTAAAATAACTCATTAAGAGACTTACCCTTGCTTTTCTTTTTCAGTATTACCAAAGTTTGAGGTGGCTTTGCAGACACCGTTATATTGTTCTATGAATTCTAAAAATTTAAATGGTACCATCACGGCAAAGTAAGTGGCATTTTTCTTTTGATGTGACTCTAAGCCATTATAAAACTGTATGACAAATATGATTATATATTAGCACATTTTTTTTTTTGCTTATTGAAATACCCTTGTGAGTAGCAAACAACTATCATAAATAATGAGGTATGGGACAGGTCTCCACAGGTCTCTGCATCCATTTTCTGCTTTCAGGCTGATCCCTTCTTAAAATATTTCTGTGGACTAGTGTCTTTCTAAGGCTAATTTTGGGATTTACATTTTTGATTTTAATTTTTTTTTTTGAGTTGGAGTCTCACTCTGTCGCCCAGACTGGAGTGCAGTGG